CTTGCTAATAATTCAATGAGATTTAACGTACGTAAGAGAACAAAGTACAAAAACGACAATCTTTTTTTAGTGTTCTTGGCTGTCATTCGAACATGTGTATGGGTGTGATGAAGTCCAGTATGCCATGGAGAATGATCGGTGCGCTTGTCCCATCACTCGTTGTCGAGAGCGAATATGCCAATAGAATGTATCCTTTGGGATATCACATGAGTCGAATCATTGAGGAAACAGGATATATGCATATACAAGCTAGTAAACCAGATACTATAGGTATTTGACATACGAGTATATGTGGTCAAAGTTAGACGTTCAAATAATACATCTATATTAATACATCTATATTAGATAATAAATAAATTGATCTCAATTATATACGATTGCACACATGCCGATTAATTTCGGGGGATTTTGCAGCATAATTAAATTAAAAATAATAATAACTGTCCCAAATTAAACTAGATCGATGCTACTAGCATCTTAAATTAAATATTATAAAATACTTTATCTTTAATTTAATTTTTAATATTACAATATTTGTAGGACCGTTAGTATTCAAACAATGATTTAAATAAAGGCCGAATGACGGTGAAGCAAGATTTAGGTTGCTACAATAATGTGTGAATTTTATTTACCACGTATATAGTTTTCTTTAATCGCGCGCCGAAATATTTTCAGACTTTTTACAAACGCAACTATAATTACCGTAGTAATATCACTATTTAAATTGACACGCAATCTAACAATATTTGATGCTTATAGCATCTTATTGGATCTTAATAATATGTTGAAAGACATATATTAAATTTTAACGATTTGTTATTAATTAATGTAAATTAAATTCTAATTATTAATAATAAATCAAATTCTGTGAAAAATAAGATTGCGAAGAATATCACAAGTTAGCATTTCGTCCCAGTTTCCACTACTAGACTCATCAGTAAGGTAATGTAATGGAAACCTACCTTAGACTTAGATATTAAGATCCAATAAGATGCTATAAGCATCAAATATTGTTAGATTGCGTGTCAATTTAACTAGTGATATTACTACAGTAGTTATTTAGAGTTGCGTTTGTAAAAAGTCTGAAAATATTTCGGCGCGCGATTAAAGAAAACTACATACGTGGTAAATAAAATTCACACATTATTGTAGCAATCTAAATCTTGCTTGACCGTCATTCGGCCTTTATTTAAATCATTGTTTTAATTTTTAATAATTTAATTTAATATAAAAATTAAATTATATATATGAAGATAAAGTCTTAGATTAGATTATATAAATGTAATATGTCAATATCTTACTTCCGTATTTAAAAACATTTAAATATACATGATTTGAAAGATTTGAGAATTTAAAGACTTGAAAAGTAATTGGAAAATATTTTTAAAGGTGCTGCCGTGGCAGCCTCGCCAGTCGCATTAGCAGTATATATTTTGGAAAAGTTTAGTACATGGACGAATCCAGAGTACAGATTTCGAGCGGATGGTGGTCTCCTCGAAAAATATACTTTAGATGAGCTTTTAGATAATATCATGCTTTATTGGATTACCAATTCTTTCACTACAAGTGCACGACTTTATGCCGAACAGTTTACGAAAGCTCATATGGGGAGCGGTATCGATGAGTACGTTACTTTTTTAATTACAATTCTACTTTTGTAAAATTTTTTTTATATTTAAAAGAAAATAATAAGTTTTGTGTTATTTTTCTACTGATAAGAGTACGTTCAATTTCTAGATTGCCTGTTGATGTGCCAGTAGCGTGTGCGGTATTTCCTTACGAGCTAGCTTATCAACCGAAGAATCTCCTTCGTGATAAATTTACTAATCTGATACAATTTAATCATTTGCCACGAGGGGGCCATTTCGCTGCATTTGAAGAACCGGTTCTCTTAGCGGATGATATCTTCGATTTTGTATCCACAGTTGAAAATATCAGGAAGAAAAACAATGCCAAAAATATGCCAAATGCAGAGAAAAAAATAAAGGAACCTACGAAAATTTAAAAAATATTTAACTATGCTATTTTTTTTAATATTAGAAATAATAATATGTAAAGACACTAAACTTGGTGGCTTATAAAACAATGTTGTATTTTTTCTAATTTTGTATAATATGGATGTTTTGAATAAAATACCTATTTTTCTAATTCTTTATATTCGATACTATTTTCGTATCATTATGTATTTAAATTTTTATTTAAAGAACTATTGTTTAAAAAAATATTTCTTAACATATGAAAATTTCTTTATTTTATTATTTATTATATGAATTATAACATTTTTCTTATCTAATTTAGAAACAAAAGCATGTTTAATTAAAGTAAAACTTTTATCTTGACGTCTTCAAGCGTCTATATGGCGCACGTGTCAGGAATACACCTAAAACTAAACTGATTAGAATTTTTAAGATAATCATGAAAGCATGTTAATGAATGTATCCATGTATGGTATTGTGGTATAATGTTGAAGGTTGTAAAAAGATAAGTATTGTATTCTTTCTATCCAAGTATTGCAAACTCTATAAAGCTAGCAGGAATCGGCAGAATCAAATCGAACCTATCAGAAATTTTAGTAGTCATTTTGTATTATGTTACTTTGTACTACCAAAATCAATTCTATATTATTTGCCTTTTTTAAGAAAACAGTGGCGCTGCTAGTTTAATGTTTAAGCTGACAAGACCATTAAAAAAAACACAAGAGTATAAAAATTAACAAAATTGAATTTGTACTATTATTTGTACCATTAAAAGTAAAAGTTGATTTATTAGCATTCCAAACTGGGCACATTTGAAACATTATAATTTTTATTTTTTGTAAGCTGACAAATAATTTGTATTCTACAGATAAAAATATGAGACATGTGTATTACTAAAAAAAACTGAGACTTTTTTTGTGAAATTATTCACGATTGTAAGTTGCAGAAATTCATAAAAAAAAACATTGCTTTATTATGTGCATTGAAATTATTATATCGTCGTATAAAACATGCGAGAGACCGATTTTAATGATCTTAAATTGTTCTATGGATGGGTTATTTTTAATTTATCATTTTCATATCAATAAATCATTTTCCATTTGTTTACAATTGTTATTAATATTTTTTATCATTAACTCATCAATTTAAAAATTTTGCAAAAATATCATATTTTCACTTCAATTATAAAGTAACTCTGAAAATTTCAAAATAGAACTCGAATGGATTGTAAAGTTAAAAAATTCTATTGTGTGACACAACGCAGTTTTATAAAATTTTTTCATATACTGAATATCTATCTACAGCGAAATTATAGAAAATATTGAATCTTTACCAGAAAGGTTCTTTTAGGATGTAATTCTCAATAAATGAGGAGCAGATTTTTTAAATACATTTTGTAGTGTACACACACACGCACGCACGCACGCACGCACGCACGCACGCACGCACGCACGCGCGCGCGCGCACCGAAATGTTTATGTTCTTTTACATATAAATTAACAAAAATGCTTTCTGATATCTCAAAATAATTTATAATAATATAAATCCTTCAACACTTGATACTAGGCACGCCATCTCTAGTTAAAAAATAAAATTTCAGAGAAAACGCATTTTAAAAGTCTTTTTCAATATCTGTTCTTTCGTATCGTGACCGTCGTGACTCTGGGAAATTGAGGCTTTCCGACCTATTCACAGATGACCGGACGGCTCTCGGTAGGCGGCAAGCAACAAAGGACCCTATAAGAAGTTGGTAGAGAGGGCAGCGACAGACCCTTCCTGATCCCCAAACGAGACGCATGATGCGTGCAAGTGCGACGAAAACAAATTGTTTGTGTTAAATAATTGATACTCGTAGACTTTTAATCTCGATCAGTTTATTTTTCGGTGTTACTACAGATACTGGGAAATATATATCTAGTGTTGATTAAAAACTGTTCAAGTGAAATTAAATTGAAATCATATAACATTAAATTTTGTGCTGCCTTTCGTAAATACAAGGAATATTTTCACGTATAACATATGCCTATAATTCCGTACATAAAGTAAATTTTAAAGCAATATAATTTTCGATCTTTTCCTAGATTGCGTTTCAAAGAAAGAATTAATCAGATGATTAATGGGAACAATCTTTCAATGCAAAATTATAAAATTATAATTAAAAAATGCGTTGGAATAATTAGAATGTGTTTTATTAAAAATTTCCAAGAAAATCTTTTAGCTAATCAGTAAAGAGCAACAAACGCATAGAACGAAGAAAGGCGTCACAAGAGAAAAGAGTATTATTTGTAAATAAGTTTTCGGAGTACCCTGGGGTACTTATCATGGAACAAGTGAATGAATTTCGAAATTATTCCCTAAATTTCATTGTGTTTTCTAGGGAAAATGGAATAATTCCGGATCGGAATTCATTTCGACATATGATGGGTATTCTAGGGTGCGTCCCAAAACTCGACTCTGTCAAGTCCTAGTATCTTTTATCCTTGTTTTACATTCCGTGAACAAGGAATGATACTTAGGTTGACAGTCGAATTTTGGAACGCAATCCTGGATGGCTACAAGACACGAGATACGAATAAATGAAAGTTATCAGCTGTTTGCAAATCGTCAATCAGTCGCGTGTATTATTAACTTGTTTCTCCGCTGATGCAGCAATTTGTCGTCTATTAGTATTATTACGTAATTGCAATGCAGTTAGAAACATTGACAGCGTCAGTATGATACGTGAAGAGTTGATTTTATTTCTTCTCGAGATCTCGAAATTTTCCGCGCAACAATCACATTGACAAAAAAGTAAGATGACGTCTGTGGTTATACGTATCGTCTGTGGTTACATGTGATTTCTTTCTTTGTCAGCAAGGAACATTGGGCTTACCGCGTGTGGGCCGTGTGGCGACAAATTCCAGCCGACAGCGTGGGACGATCAGCTTGAAACAAGAGGGAACCGCGTCGACCACGTGACGGCATAAAGTGCAAGACGCCGGCGCGGTGTAATCATTTTGTTCCGGCGATATGACAGGCGGGAGGATGGGAGCAGAAGGAGACCCGACGACAATAATCGTCTACGCGGATGTTTACACGCAGGAAACGCCGAGCACGTCCGAGCATGAGCTCAGGTGAGTGTGCGATATATGTGTGCAAGCGTCTGCGGATAGACAGATGCGTGCGTACGCGATAAACGTGCGTGATGTTACTCGTTCGTTACGTCGAGGTTACGTCGAACTTGCCGAGTACATATAAGTATCGCTCATCATTAGCCAGTGCTGTCATTTGCCAAGAAAAACGGTCACTGACCGACGAATAAAAATGAGTAAAAACAAGAATTAACTTAAGTGTATAAACAATTACGATTGTTTAACGTTCCTTCTTTTATTTCGTACAATATATTACTTATATCTTGAAGTGGCGGGATATGTAAGTTGATAAAAAAACAATTCGAAACATTATCATTGAATAAACATTTCTTCATAGATAAATACTTGCTGATGAAAATAATAAAAGAAAAAGAAAACAATATAAGAACTGCGTTCATAAAGATAAAACAATATTATTTTAATTTTTTACTTTCTAATATTGCTTTTAATACGTGCATAAAATAATCGAAATGAATTTTGAAAGTTTTTGATAAAAATGTGATTTTTCGTTGACTGTAGGTCGTTCCTTTTATAAATATAAGCGGGATAGAATTTATAATTTTTTAGCAAGCATCTGTGAAACTTTACCTCGGTTCCAAAGGTCTAACGGACACAATGCACATACAAAAGTTTTCTGTTACGGTCTGTTTGACATTCGTGGTACATATACAATTCGCACATGGGCCGGCGCCGCCGTGCAACGTGATGTGCAACGTCGAGGTACACACCTTAACATTAAATATCCCGTCCTTCCTTTTGTATACCGATATCTCGTTCTCGGCGGGTAAGGGGGGGGGTAATATTATGTGTCTCCTGGACACTTTGCGTAACTTGACACGTGCTAACTCGACGACCGAATGCGCGAATTTTCCGAGAAACTAATGCTTGCACAGCGCGATTGGATCCTCTCACACACGTGCCAAATGACGTAAGAAATTAGTTTAGCGCTCTTCGAAATAGCAGACTAAATGTAGTTGTCAGAATCGCGTATTTAAATGTGGCAATGGTGATTCGCCACGCTGAAAGCTGGGAATTTCTGCACGCGAACGTGAACGCTAACAAATAGCGGCTATTATAATTTGTACGGAATATATTCTTTGGGAGACGTTGGCACAGGAGTTCCAATTTTTCCTCGCACGCTTCTCTCGCTTGCTTGAGAACCGGTTTCATATCGACCACGTTTACATGCGCGTCTCAAAAAGGAGGCGCGACGTGAGCCGAGAAAGGAGCGTAAGGTACCTTTCGACGAAGCGCAAACACTTTATTTGATATTCGGCAGCGTGAGGAGAGGAAACGGAGAAATCCCGGCGCGAAACGTGCCAGAGAATTGGATATAACCGAAGAATCTGGCTAATAAAATTGCAACGGTTTGTAAATAAGTATATTGCAGTGTACTTGATATGTTACGGTATGTGAATCTGCCATCTGCTCGATAGTGTGATTATTTCCATGTAATTCCCACGTAATTTCCGAGCTAAATTGGGATCACGGAAGCTTTTGTATCATGGCTGAATTAAATGTTATTATGTACGTCAATTAAGCACGTATTAAAAGAGATGTTTATGTGTTGCAAACATAGTTGCAAACGAAACTGCAGTGCGTCGCGTTTCGATTTAGCCGTTAAAAAAAAATACGAAATGTTTTCGGAAAAATATCGAAAGTCATATGATTATCGTAAGCAAAAAAATATGCAAATGGAAGACAAGAGATCTATTTGGGAAGTCGAGAGAATAAGCCTCTTTGAGTAAGTTTTCTTTTTATCCGGTCTACACAAATTTACTTTTAATCGCGTGCTTTTAACCGTGACTTGTAAATCGTAGTTTATCACGTTTAACGGAATCAACGCCGAATATTTGATACTTCGTTGCGTGCATCGAGAGATTACGTGAAAAGATTGAACTCTAGCAGAAGTAAACTGTTGCAAAACAGATTTAATCGAATGGTTTTATCTAAAGCGACCAGTTCACCTTGACCGTGACTATAATTATACATGCCAATCTTTTGCTTAAACTGCGAAGGCACAAGAATCTAATCAGATGTTATATATCTTTTTTACATTCGTTCAAAAATGCGTTTATTCTACACAAAGTGGACAGTAAGTTTTACTCCAATCTTCGTATTATTCAAAGAAAAGAATTTCTCACCGAGTACCATTTGGTTAATTTATGTTAAAATATGTTCTATCGAAACCGACAATCTACATTATGGTACTGCGTAATCTATATTGTGGATGATCTATTAGATCTACAACTTAATTCTTGGCCCTTTTTACCAAGTTTCGATATAAAATTATAAACAAACGATTATTAACCTAATTAAAGTAATCCCTTTCACTTTCCACATATTTTTGCCATCTTTCAGGTAACTGTCGGATTCCGTTTCGAAAAAAAACCTTTTGTTTTGAGTTGATGAATTCTATGATAAAAAAAATTGAAATTGCCATCACGAAATCTTTGAAATTACTTTTTACATGTACTGTACGACACAGAGTTTTCCTAAAGCCGAGCAAATTATTTCTTGAGCTTCCGCGCTTTATTTTTCTTCAGCTAGAACACGAAAAGGAAGCAGTGTCTCAAATGCTGCTTTTCGAACGACACAGTTTTTACTATTATTTTTTGAGGTTAGATTCACAGCACCGATACCTATTGTAACTTATTTTAAAACTTAAAGTGACGCTCCAAAATAACTGTGGCAAGAAAAAGATTCAAATTTGAATAAATTCCATAGTCGATTGAATATATTAGGAGCGAGAATTAAGTTATAAACTTGATACCTTGTAGTAAGCTACATATTGAAAAATACTTCATTTAATTTTCTTTCGAAATGTTTAATACAATATATACGCACAAAAAGAATTATTTTTTAAACTATTTAAAAATTTAATTTAGATCTCTCTCTAGGAAAATAATTTCGCTGTCAAAATAATTACATACACAGAGAGAAAGATTTTTGAACTCGAAACTACTATTTACGTTTATTTCATTAAAACAATGTAATTTTGAGTAAAATTATTTTGTTTAATTTCCAAAATTTAATTTGAACGCAATCATACATTTCTTAATTTAAAGAATTGATTTGGTTATTAGGTGTACAAATTAATTCTCGATCTTTTTTGAACAACTTTGACATTTATTTATAAAAACATAAATATTAGGAGTATAAATAAGTTTCCGCCGTTTGACAAAAGATGGCGCCACCAGTATGTTATGATTAAAATTATCAGCTGTAAAAATGTCATATCGTAAGGTTGGACATCTGGCAACAACATAACCTTGAAATATTAGCGATTTGTATCAGCATTATATATCTTTTTTCGTGTGAAAATGTCGAGTTTTGAGCCGAATAAGCGTCATTTGCGGGAACAAATTAATTTGAAGAAATCTGCAGCTGAGGCGCATCGATTGCTTGTAGAAGTATATGGTGAGGCTGCCTTAAATGAGAGAAGTTGCCGTGAGTGGTTTCAAAAGTTTAAGAACGGTGAATTTGACGTCGAAGAACGTAGTTTCGACGTTTTTTGTTTTTTCGACGTAGAATTCACCAATTACCAAAAAGATGGGAAAAAGTAGTGGCTAGTGATGGACAATACTTCGAATAAAACATTAGGTACCGTTCTTTCACAATAAATGCCCAATTTTTGATGAAAAAACGGTGGAAACTTATTTATACACCTAATACATACTCCATCTTCAAAGTAATCTCCCTCGCTATCTATACATTTTTTTTCATCTCTCAAACCATTGCCGGATTCCAGATCGGAAAAATGATGATGGCTTTGAATTAATGAATTTATCGAGACTTTTTTCGAACTGACTTGAATCGAGAATTAGTTAGATGATGTTGTAGGGCTCAAAATAGGTGATAATCCGAAAGAGCTAAGTCTGGAAAATACGCCGCATGAGGGCGAATTTCCTAGCCTAAATCGAAGACGGTTTCCAGAGTGTTTTTTTGCTGTCATTTACACGAATCAATTGTTGCTGATAGATCTGTTGATCAGCAGTCTAACTATGTCGGAGCAACTCATAATCACGCCCTTCTAATCCCACCAAATGCATAGCAACACCTTTTTTTACATGGATGTTCGGTTTTGCCATGCTCGTTAACGGCTCACCTACTGGACGGACCCATGATTTTCGCCTCTTAGGATTTTCATACAATATTCACTTTTCGTCACAAGTAACAATTTTGTGCAAAAAATTATCTTTCTTGAACCTAGAGAGCAAAGAAAGAGTAGTATTGTGGCGTCTGCTTTTGTTTTCGGGAGTGAACTCATGAGGAACTCATCGGGATCTCTTGCGAATCCTCTCCAGCTATTTTAGGCGATAAGAAACGTCTTGTTGGGTTACTCCAAGCGTATTTGCAAGTTCTAATTACGGTTGGCAAGAATTTTCGTTCAAAATTTCCTCCAATTCGTCTTCCACTTTTGATTGACCAGGGCGTTCACGATCCTCAAGGTCGAAATTTCCTTCTCGAAACCGTTGGAACCATTTTTTACACGTACTGTATGCTACAGCATTCTCGCCCAAAGCCGAACAAATCATTTCTTTTGCCTCAGCCGCGTTTTTTTTAAGTTGATTCGCGAAAAGAAGGTATAGTGCCTCAAATGTTGCTTTTCGAACGACATCATGTTTACTGCTGATTTTTCAAGTTATGTTCACAGGAGGATCAAGTATTGTACCTTATTTTAAAGCTAAAAGATGGCACTTCAAAATGACTACAGAGGTGGGGGAAGTTCAACTTAAACATTCAAGACGTTCTGAGGTCGTTAAAAGGTAGGGGCTGAGAATTAATTTGTACATCTAATATAGACTATTCCAATATGACTACATTTATTAAATTAAAAAGGAATCTTTTTCAAGCATAATGAGAAATACTGTAAAAGTTTTGATATTTAAGCTATCACTTTGGGCTATATAATTTTGGTGACCTAATAAAATCATTTTTAGATGTTTATCTAATAAATTTTAGATATTTTAGCAAAACCA